TCAACACCTGGGCCACATATGTGGCCATCCAGGCCATGCTGTCCCTCTACACCTCTGGGCACACCACTAGCATTGTCCTGGACCCTGGAGGTGGCCACCACATGGTGCCTATCTATGAGGGCTATGCCCTCCCCATGTATCTGGACCTGGCTGGCCATGACATGGCCACTGCCACATCCTCCTCCTCCTTGGAGAAGAGCTGTGAGCTGCCCGATGGCAGGTCATCGCCATTGGCAACGAGCAGTTCCAGTGTCTGGAGGCACTGTTACAGCCTTCCTTCCTGGGTATGGAATCTTGCAGCATCCACGAGACCACCTTCAACTTCATCATGAAGTGTGACGTGGACATCTGCAAAGACCTGTATGCCAACACGGTGCTGTCTGGCGGGACCACATGTACCCTGGCATCCCGACAGGATGCAGACGGAGATCACTGCCCTGGTGCACAGCAGCATGAAGATCAAGATCACTGTGCTTCCCTGTGAGTGCAAGTACTCAATGTGGATCAGCGGCTCCATCCTGGCCTCACTCTCCACCTTCCAGCAGATGTAGGTCAGCAAGCAGGAGTATGAAGAGTTGAGCTCCACCGTCGTCCACCACAAATGGACTGTGAGCTGACTTGTGGCATTTGCTGCATGGGTTAATTCTGAAGTATAAATTCGCCCCTGGCAAATGCATATACCTCATGCTAGCCTCACAAAAGTAGAATAAGCCTTCAAAAAAATTATCCTTGAAGTTTGTATCTGATATCAGCACTGGATTGTAGAACTTGTTGCTGATTTTGACCTTGTATTCAAGTTTAAATGATAGCCATCATATTTTCTTATGCATGGATATCTGACTTAAAAATCTGTGGTATTTAATGCCCTACACATATTTTTGATTTCAACCCTTATTACCTGTGGCTTGGTCACCTCGTGGCTGACGTAAGAACTGGCTTCTGGAAGACAAGTCGGTGGCTTGGTCGGTCTGTGTGTCCAGCCGTCTCCAATCTGTGCAGGGTGTTAATGTGTCAGGGCTGAGTGCTCTGGGATTTCTGTAGAGGCTGGTAAGGGCTCCTGAACTGATTGTCTCTGCCTTGCCGGACTATCAGGGTCGGAAAAGTCCAAGCCGTAGGACCCAGTTTCCTTTCTTAGCGGTTTTCCTGCTAGAACACCATGAGCTGCTACTTGTGTTGAGGTAGAAGCAGTTTGCATTTCCACCCATAAATGTATTCATCCTTTTAATTTATGTGAGGTTTTCTTGTTCGCAATTCTCCATTCTTTGAGACAGCACATTTTGTTTTTTTTCCTCTTATGTGAGAACTTTAGGCCCCAGCAACACATCATTGTGTAGGAAAAACAAAAGTGCTGCCAAAAAAAAAAAAAAAAAAAACTGGCCAGGCATGGTCGCTCATGCCTGTAATCAGAGCACTTTGTGAGTCCGAGGCGAGTGGATTGCTTGAAAGCAGAGGTTTGAGACCACCTTGGTCAACATTGTGAAACCCCATCTCTAGCAAAATGCAAAAATTAGCTGGGCATGGTGGCAGGTAATCCCAGCTATCAGGGAGGCTGAGTCAGGAGAATTGCTTAAACCCAGGAGGTGGAAGTTACAGTAAGCCAAGATTGTGCCACTACACTCCAGCCTGGATAACAGAGTGAGACTCAAAAAAAAAAAGAAAAAAAAATCAAGGCTGGGCATGGTGGCTCACACCTGTAATCCCAGCACTTTGGGAGGCTGAGGCAGGGGGATCATTAGGTCAAAAGATTTAGGTCATCCTGGCCAACATGGTGAAACCCAGTCTCTACTAAAAATACAAAAAATTAGCTGGGTGTGGAGGCATGCTCCTGTAGTCCCATCTACTCATGAGGCTGAGGCAGGAGAATTCCTTGAACCTGGGAGGCAGAGGTTGCAGTGAGCTGAGATGGCGTCACTGCACTCCAGCCTGGTGACAGAGCAAGACTCTGTCTCTAAAAACAAAAGTCAGTAGTCTCACTGAGGTAGCAGCTATAGTGAACAAATACCACCCCCTTAGGGTTTGGGTAACAAAGGGGAAAAGATTGGGATGAATAGAATTTAGAAGTCTGAAGGGGGGCACAGTAGGGAGATGAAGGAGGCCTGCCTCCTGGCCCCTTATCTCTAAGGGGCTGCACTGAGGCTAATTCTAGGAGCATGGGGGAAACTGTGCACTGGAAGCCAAATTGCCTGGACCATACTGCTCAGCAGAGGCAGACACAGGAGCTGTCCCTTTCTCCCACGAGCTTTAATTCCCCTTCCTGCTGGTTTGCAGAGATCTAGCCCAGAAGCAGAACACAGAACAGGGGATTCAAAGCTGCAATGATCATGACCAGCACTCTCCTCAAACACTGACTCAAGGGTTTGGGGGTACTAGGACAAGGTTCTAAGTAACATACCCATTTTCAGTTCAAACTTTCCAAAAAAATGCAGTATTGTAACGAATCCATCTTGGGAAAAAATTATAATAGCGTCCACATCAGCAGCTCACAAGAGTTACTTTTCACTTGCATAGTCTCGATGGCCAAGTATAGACGTTCTCAGACACATTTTAAGTGATTTTAATTTCAGATCCAGACAAATGAGTTGTCTAGTTTTTTTTTTTTTTAAATATAACAGGGTCTGTAATTCACTACACAGATGAGAGATCATTTTCCATTAAATATTGTTTCTTAAGTGCAGGTATACATAAGCAAGTGAAAGTGATGCAACCCACAAACAGTCCTAATTCCAGCGTTAGAGAATTTGTTTAGTTGATGGGTCAGCAAACTATAGGCTTCAGGTCAAACCTGGCCTGCTGCTACTTTTTTTTTTTGAGAAGGAGTTTCGCTCTGATTACCCAGCTGGAGTGCAATGGCGCGATCTCAGCTCACCACAACCTCCGCCTCCTGGGTTCGGGCAATTCTCTTGCCTCAGCCTCCTGAGTAGCTGGGATTACAGGCACGCGCCACCATGCCCAGCTAATTTATTGTATTTTTAGTAGAGATGGGGTTTCACTATGTTGACCAGGATGGTCTTGATCTCTTGACCTCGTGATCCACCCGCCTTGGCCTCTCAAAGTGCTGGGATTGATTATAGGCTTGAGCCACTGCGCCCGGCCAGCTACTTTTTATAAAGTTTTACTGCAGCACAGCCACACTTGCTCACGCACAGCTTTACACTTCCCTGCAGCAACACAGAGTAGTTACAATAGGCCGTATGACCTCCAAGGCCTTGGGGGCAACTTTTTATGTGACTCATGAGGTTTCTTTTTCTTTTGAGATGGAGTCTTGCTCTGTGGCCAGGCTGGAGTGTAGTGGCACAGTCTCGGCTCACTGCAACCTCCACCTCCTGGGTTCAAGCGATTCTTCCGCCTCAGCCTCCCAAGTAGCTGGGACCACAGGCACATGCCACCACGCCCGGCTAATTTTTTTGAATATTTAGTAGAGATGGGATTTCACCATGTTGGCCAGGATGGTCTCGATCTCTTGCTTGTGATCTGCCTGCCTCAGCCTCCCAAAGTGCTGGGATTACAGGCGTGAGCCACCGCGCCTGGCCTTTTTCTTTTTTAGTATCGAGTCTTGCTAGTCGCCCAGGCTGGAGGGCAATGGTGCGATCTTGGCTCACTGCAACCTCCGCCTCCTGGGTTCAAGCGATTCTTCTGCCTCAGCCTCCCTAGTAGTTGAGACTACAGACACCTGCCACTCCCACAGCCCCCGGCTAATTTTTTGTATTTTTAGTAGAGATGGGGTTTCACCATGTTGGTCAGGCTGGTCTGGAATACCTGACCTCTGGTGATCCATCCACCTCAGCCTCCCAAAGGGCTGGGATTACAGGTGTGACCCACTGCACCTGGCTGAGGTTTCTTTTTTAAATAATGAAAATGTGGCTTACCAGACAACTTGAAACATTTTAAGAACTGAATGTTCATAGTAAGAGAGAAATGTTTTTTAAGGCCCAAATTTGCTGTTTTAACCTGACCACACTTTCTTTTTTTTTGAGATGGAGTTTGCTCTTGTTGCCCATTGAAGTGCAATCTCGGCTCACTGCAACCTCCACCTCTCAGGTTCAGGTGACACTCCTGCCTCAGCCTCCCAGGTAGCTGGGATTACAGGCATGTCTCCATACTTTATTCTACTCTACACTATTCCTAGGTGAAATCAGTAAATCCTAGTCCAAATTCCTGTGAGAGGACAGGCCCTGAACATAATCAAAATGCAGCTATCAGTTTACCTGAAATGCTTTGAGAAGAAGCCATGGGAAAGCCTGCCATTTGTTTCTTAAAAACTGTTAAATTGAAAGGGGAAAAAAGCCATTCTCAAGACTACAAAAGTGTAGCAAACACTAAGGGCTAGAAGGTGCTTGTGACACCACCTGGGCAACCTGGCAAAACCCATCTCTATCAAAAACAGCAACAACAACAACAAAAATTAGCTGTCTCTGGTGGTGCTTGCCTGCAGTCCCAGCTACTTAGAAAGCTGAGGTGGGAGAATCGCCTGAGTCTGGGAAGTTTAGGTGAGCCATGATCGCACCATTGCACAGCCTGGGTGACAGAGACACTGTCTCAAAAAAGAGTGAAGTGCCAATGGCATCTCGTAATCCACAATTCATACTCTGACTAATATGCATGTTAATTTTAATTTTAAAAATTAGGTTGTGCCTTATGGACTCTCCTATTTTTTTTTTTTTTTTTTTTTTCTCCATACAGACAGGGTCTCACTATGTTAACCAAGGTGGTCTGAATTCCTGGCCTCAAGTAATCCTGCCTTGGCCTCCCACAGTGCTAGGATATTATATACAAGCATAAGCCACCATGTCTGGTCTTTTTTTTTTTTTTAAGACACTGATAACAACTTTTAGATTTTCTTTAGATACGAATATGTCAATGAATTAAAAAAAAAACCTTTCAGATTCAAATCTTCCCAAAATTCCTAAAATCTAACTATTTCTGTTCACAATAAATGTGCTTCGTAAAAACCTTTCAGAGGGGAAAAAAGTGATACAGATGACACATTAATGTTCAAGCAATTTAAAACAAAAAGGTAGATTTAATGCAATAACAATAATCTGAGGATAAATAAATCCATGACAGACTTTAAAGTTTGCAAATCTGTTTCCTTTCTTTGCAGAGAGAATGGTTTTCTGAAAGCACATAGGACTGAAGATTTCAAAACAAAACTTAATTTCTTAATAACCAGGTGACACAGGCTTGGTCCTCTCTGCTGCCCTCTGAACATTTGCCACTGGCCAAGATGGTAGTTTCTCTCGCTTAGCTCAGGATGGATGTTACTTTCAGGAGTAACTGGATGGTTTGTTTCCTGAATCATCTTCTTGTGAGCCCATACTCTGTAAAGGGAAAGTGAAGCTACATATTTTTGTTTGCCTTTAGCTAGGGTTCTCCAGCAGCCCAGTAAGCACACCAGTTACCTGGTTGCTCCCAGAACAAAGCCACCCTGTGAACAAGGGCAGGCAATTCAGGAACCACCCTAAGCATCTCTAAGTGTACTTCCAGGCCGTCACTTGAAAATGCTCTCAACTAGGATTTCTCCATGATCATATGGTAAAGGTTTTCAAGAAATATTTAATAACCTGAAACTTAGTTCCTGTGCCTGATGTGCCTGATGCGACAACATCCCTCTTTCTCCACCCAGTCTACTGTTTTTTTTTTTGAGATGGAGTTTTGCTCTTGTTGCCCAGGCTGAAGTGCAATGGAGCAATCTTGGCTCACTGCAACCTCCACCTCCTGGGATCAAGCGATTCTTCTGCCTCAGCCTCCCGAGTAGCTGGGATTACCCAGGTAATCCATCTGCCTTGGCATCCCAAAAGTGCTGGGATTACAGGCGTGAGCCACCGTGCCCAGTCCAGTCTACTTCTTATAAGGGGAACTGTAGTCACCTTTTGCACAAACTGGGGGTTCACTGTGATCTCCTGGTCCATGGCCTTCAGCCGCTCATCCAGCTCTATGCACTTCAGCATCTGCATGACAGGCACATCAGAAGATGGTCAGCAGCAGATTCAGGTCAACTGCATCCTTTCTAACTTAATGTTAGACTGTTAACATGGCTGTTAACATGAGTGCTGTAGGTTCACAATCTCTTGTTCTGAAACCATACTTAATACCCACCCAACAGGACCTAGGCAAACCTCATAATCAAAGACATAGTAAGTTTTGCAGTGAAACTAGAGTATATTCACACTGAGATAAAAGAACAGACACCATTTCAGGTGACATTTTGCTATCAAATTTGTTATTAAAAAAGTTTTCTGAGATTTAATTTTCAGTTCACTTCCCTGCTCAGAAGTTAGAAACACAGACCACCCAAAAAATGCCCCCTTCAGCCCCAGAATCAGGGCAGCATGCCCTCAGGAGACACAGAGGTGGCTGCTGCTGCTGTGGCCCATGTTGTTGCCTGAAGGGGACCTTCGGGAGGGGGCTCTGCTCTTCTCCTCCAGCCACCCCACTCTGCTTCTGACTGACACAGGGAGAGATGTTTCCTGACCCCCCACCATGGAACTCAACAGACATTTCAGCAAAACCACAAGGCCCTGTGCTGTAAGTGGCAGCTGGGAATCAAGTTATACTAGGCCCTTCAAGTGTTTTCAGAGTTAAGGGAGGTTTTGATGAGCTAGCTGGGATGTCTAATCCACTATTTATTTATACCCATACAATCAGGAAGAGTTTTTTTTTATCTTTTTGAGGCACAGTTTCCCTCTGTTTCTCACGCTGGAGTGCAGTGGCGCGATCTCAGGTAACTGCAACCTCTGCCTCCCAGGTTCTTCTAAGCGATTTTCCTGCCTCAGCCTCCAGAGTAGCTGGGATTACAGGTACACACCAGCATGCTGAGCTAATTTTTTTTTTTTTTTTTTTTAAGTAGACACGGGTTTCACCATGTTGGCCAGGCTGGTCTCCATCTCCTGACCTCAGGAGATCTACCTACTTCAGTCTCCCAAAGTGCTGGGATTATAGGCGTGAGCTACGGCGTCCAGCCTGGAAGAGTTTTAAGCAGTCCATTCTGAGTTTTTGTTGTTGCTTTTCTTGTGGCAGAGTCTTGCTCTGTTGCCCAAGCTAGTCTTGCTGCTGTGGCCCATGCTGTTGCTTGAAGGGGACCTTCGGGAGGGGGCTCTGCTCTTCTCCTCCAGCCACCCCACTCTGCTTCTGACTGACACAGGGAGAGATGTTTCCTGACAAGCTAGAGCTGTGGCACAACTGCAGCTCACTGTAACCCCTGCCTCCAGGGTTCAAGCAATTCTCCTTAAGCAGCCCATTCTGAAATTAACTTTCTAGTAACTAAGATGTACATAGACTGGGAACTACCTGTACTTAAAACTAAAATCACCTGGAACACAGGAGCAGTATTTCAAATACATTTCAACTGTCAATCAAAAAAATAAAAATATGGCATTCATGTTTACCTCCTGATCAATGTTATGAAGCATGGCTGGATTATTATATTTTTCAGGGTTATCATGGAAACTGACCATACCGTCCTTCTGGTTAATACTTGCAAAAATCTCACCATCTTCTATCTACCAAAAAAAAAAAAAAAAAAAAAATCAGGAAAGCAGTTTAGACCCAAATGCTGTATGAATACAGAGTCATCCAGTATAATCAGGGAAAAGCACAGAAGGCAATATGGATATAAACAAACTTGTAGATTTTTAAGCACCATTTGTTTATCCAACAGCCTATTATTTGCTAGGCACCATTATAGATGCTAAGAGGTATGAAACTGATGCTCACACATACAAAATCCCTACCCTTGCATTTTTGTTGTTGAGGTGAAGTCCACACAACATAATTAACCATTTAATTTAATTTAATTTATTTATTTGAGACAGCGTCTCACTCTGTCACCCAGGCTGAAGTGCAGTGGTGCATTCTCAGCTCACTGCAACCTCTGCCTCTTGGGTTCAAGCAATTTTCTTGCCTCAACCTCCCAAGCAACTGGGATTACAGGTGCCTGCCACCACATCCAGCTAACTTTTTTGTATTTTTAATAGACACAGGGTTTCAACGTGGTGGCCAGGCTGGTTTCGAACTCCTAACCTCAAGTGATCCGCTCGCCTCCACCTCCCAAAGTGCTAGGATTACAGGCATAAGCCACCACACCTGGCCTACCATTTTAAAGTGAGCAATTCATTGGATTTAATGCATTCTACAATGTTGTGCACCTACCATCTCTATCTAGTTCTGGAGCATTTTCATTACCCTAGAAAGAGGCCCCAGACCCATCAGCAGTTCCTCCCCATTCCCTTGGCCTCCTAGCCCCTGGAAACTACCAATCTGTCCTTGTCTCTTATGGATTTGCCTTTTCTGGATATATGAATGCAACCATACACTATGTAGTCTTTTGTGGTCTGGCTTCCCTCAGCATGATGTGTTTGAGGTACCCTTGTATTTTTCAACATGGATTGCATTGAGATATAATTTACATTCCCTTTTTTTTTTTTTTTTTGAGATGGGGTCTCGCTCTGTCACCCAGGCTGGAGTGCAGTGGCTCGATCTCTGCTCACTGCTACCTCCACCTTCTGGGTTCAGGGGATTCTCTTACCTCGGCCTCCCAAGTAGCTGAGACTATAGGTGTATGCCACCTCGCCTGGCTAATTTTTTGTATTTTTGTGGAGATGGAGTTTCGCCATGTTGGCCAGGTTGGGCAACTGTATTTTAAAAAGTAAAGCCTAACACATTTTCATTTCATCCCAGTGGAAACTATCTACTGATTCTTCAAGAAAACTTTACCAACTGCTGATTCCAAGACAGATTCAAGGTCTACATATTATTTATTTGCATCAGTTACTGGGGATTTATTTGACTCATCCTCAAAGTCAAATACTGCCTATGAAGTTAAAAAGTGAGATACCAATAAAAGTCCCAAACAGATATTTTATTCCTAACCAGATATTCCCCACATGTGATATGACTTGTCCATTTGTTAGAAATGGAACTGCTGGCCTACTCTTCTCTAGCTTTGGAAGGGATAGATGCTATTTAGTGAAACAGCAACCAGCCCCAATACATACTACACAAAATGCATAGTTCTCTATGTGATCACAGAGAGCTGCCTGTTTAAGAAGCGGATGGAATGTACCTAAGCAAAATTTGGACCTACCATGACCACAGCAGCACTATTCAAAATAAATAAACCAGAACTGGAAACAACTCCAATGTCTAACTAATTAAAATGGAAAGGTGTATAAAATACTGGAACACTGTAGCCCTGAAAACGAATGAACTGCAGCTACATAGAGCATCTCGCCTGACTCTCACCATGCTGAGCCAAAAACCAGATCCCCAGAAAGTATGTATTGTGTGTTTCCTTCTATATAAAGCTCAGAAACAAACACAACTAAAATAGGATGTTAGAAGTCAGGATGGGAACAACCTTTCTAGAGAGGCACAGGGCTGGGAGCAGGCACGAGGGATATTTTTGAGTTGCCAGTCATATTCTGTTCTTTCATCTAGGTGTTGGAAACTTTGTGAAAATGTGTTTAGCTGTACACTTAAGTGTACTTTTCCAATGTTTACTTAAAAAAAAAAAAAAAAAAAAAAAACCCTGACCTCACAAACCTTTCTTTCTAGGGGAAGGGTTTCTCAAGCCTGGTAGTACTGACATTTGGGGCCAGATGATGCTTTGGTGTGTGGGCTGTCCTGGGTACTGTGGGATGTTTAGCAGCAGCCGTGGCCTGTACCCATTAGACACCAGTAGCACCCCCATCTGTGAAAACCAAAACTATCTCCCAACGTTGCCTAATGTCTCCTGGCAGACGAAATCACCCTCGGGGAGAACCACTGCTCCAGAGCCTGATAGGGTATCTGGGCTGGTTAATCAGGGTTCAAAACTCACACCCACTTTGACCCCTCAACACATTGCTGCCTTGCATGTCTGGTGTCATAATGACTCATGTATTTCTTCGCACTCACCACTGAAGAGTGAATTTCTTGGGGAAAGTCTGTAGGTTACTCATTCTGCGTAATCCCTGTGGGGTTAGTAAGATGCTCTTAGCAGATACAAGTCACAGAGCTATGGTTTTGTTTGGTGTGTGCATGTTTTGAGTGGTAAGTTGAAGCAAAAAACCCCTTAGAACATTTGTAAATTGAACTATCAAATGAAATAGCTAAGTGCAGTGGCTGTAGTCCCAGCTGTAATCCCAGCACTTTTGGAAGCCAAGGTGGGAAGGTCTCTTGAGGCCAGAAGTCTCAAGTTGTGCCTGGGCAACATAATGAGACCCTGTCTCTACAAAAAAATTTAAAAATTAGCCGGGTGTGGTGGCACACACCTGTAGTCCCAGCTACTTGGGAGGCTGAGGTAAGAGAATCATTTAAGCCCAGGCAGTCCAGGCTGCAGTGAGCCATGATTACGGCACTGCACTCCAGCCTGGGCCACATAGCAAGACCCTGTCCCAATCAATTAATCAAAATACAGTACACTGTTATCACAAGGGAAACTAGTTTTATTACTCCTAATTCTGAAATCATATGAAGCTTTGCCTGTCCTGAGCTGAAGATACAGGTTTGTTTTCAGTGAAATAAAACCAGATCAGAACTATGTACTTATGTAACTGAATAGGTAGGTAGATTACAATACTCAGTGTGGTAGGTTATCATATAGTCATTTAAATGAGGCTTATCTAAATCAGGAGTGGATGCCTGGTTGGAGTGGGGCTGAGAGTGGGGAAATGCAACTGGGGTGTGTCAGTGCACTGGTGCGGTTTCATTTCTGAAGCTCGTTGCTAACTACGTGGGTGTGTGCTCTGGCCTCCTTTGTGTCAGTGCTGCTCACAGAATAATCATCATCATGGACAGGCCGGGTGCAGTGGCTCACGCCTATAATCCCAGCACTTGGGAGGCTGAGGCGGGCAGACCACAAGGTCAGGAATTCGAGACCAGCCTGACCAACATAGAGAAACCCCGTCTCTACTAAAAATACAAAAATTAGCCGGGTATGACGGCGCACGCCTGTAATCCCAGCTACTCAGGAGGCTGAGGCAGGAGAATTGCTTGAACCCAGGAGGCAGAGGTTGCAGTGAGCCTAGATTGTGCCACTGCACTCCAACCTGGGTGACAGAGCGAGACTCTGTCATTAATTAATTCATTCATTCATTCATAAATAAATAAATAATCATCATGGACCAAAACCCTCAGTGAGGGAAGAGACTGAGTCAGAACGTCAGTCAGTGATGTCACTAAGCACACTGTAGTTCACCCAACATTGTTGAGCAAGGTTTCTTGCTACGGTAATTGCTTTACATACATACTAGCAAAAGCTTGTGATCTCATCACAGGTAAGCAGAGAAAGTAGCCCTCTGTTAAAACTCTTTGTATACCCAAAACATTTCATGTGTGTTATGAGGTTTACAAAAATTCTGATAATGAAAATATAGGCACCTGTAATCCCAGGTACTCAGGAGGCTGAGACAGAAGAATCACTTGAACCCAGGAGGTGGAGCTTACAGTGAGCCAAGATCACATCACTGCACTCCAGCCTGGGCAACAGACTGAGACTATGTCTCATAAATAATAATAATAATAATAAGAAGAAGTACAAGGCTGGGCTCAGTGGCTCACACATGTAATCCCAACAATTTAAGGCCCAGGAGGGCAGACTGAGCCAAGGAGTTCAAGCCCAGCCTGGGCAACATGAAGAAACCCCATCTCTACAAAAAAATACAAAAATTAGTCCAGCATGGTGGCAGACGCCTGTAGTCCCAGCTACTTGGGAGGCTGAGGTGTGAGGGTCGAAGCTGCAATGAGCTGAGATTGTGCCACTGCACTCCAACCTGAGCAACAAAATGAGATCATCTCAAAAAAAAAAAAGAGAACAAATAGGACACAAGCCTGGTGTGTGTATCATACAAGCACACTAAAAGTAGAAAACCATATGGACTATAAGGAAATAGACTAAACTATCAATAGTGGTTGACTCTGGAGGTTCCCCTGTCTTTCTCATTTTTAATATTTTCCACAGTGAACATCTGTTACTCTTACAAAAACAAAAATCCAATAATTAATTTTCTAAAAAATGAAAATCCAGGCGAGGCACAGTGGCTCATGCCTATAATCCCAGCACTTTGGGAGGCTGAGGCGGGCAGATCAAAAGGTCAAGAGTTCGAGACCAGCCTGAGCAAATGGCAAAACACCAATTCTATTAAAAATACAAAAAATTAGCCAGATGTGGTGGTACATGCCTGTAGTCCCAGCTCTCCGGAGACTGAGGCAAGAGAATTGCTTGAATCTGGGGGGCAAAGGTTGCAGTGAGCCGAGACTGTGCCACTACACTCCAGCCTGGGCAACAAGAGCAAGACTGTGTCTCTAAAAATAAAAATATAAAAAAGAAAATCCACTTACCATGTGCAGAACGTATTTTTCTGCCTCCTGAGGTCCAGATAACTGCACACGACTTGCCATATCTTGTAATGACAGAGTTAAAAAGGTCTAAAAGTCAGAAGCAGAATTAGTCACAGGAAGGAACAACAAAGGAAAGATATTTTATTAAGTGTACAGAGGAGCCGGGCGACTGGCTCATGCCTGTAATCCCAGCACTTTGTGAGGCCAGGGTGGGTGGATCACAAGGTCAGAAGATTGATCCTGGCTAACACGGTGAAACCCCGTCTCTACTAAAAAAAAAAAAATACAAACACAAAAAACTGGCTGGATGTGGTGGCACAAGCCTGTAGTCCCAGCTACTTGGGAGGCTGAAGCAGAAGAATTGCTTGAACCCTCTTCAGGCGGAGGCTGCGGTGAGCTGAGATCATGCCACCGCACTCCAGCCTGGGCAACAGAGTGAAACTCCAACTCAACAACAACAACAAAAAAATGTGTACAGAGCTCTTCCCATTGATGTACAAAATAAATTTGTGTAGATGACTTAAAAATGACAGGCTAGGCGCCGTGGCTCACGCCTGTCATCCCAGCACTTTGAGAGGCCGGGGCAGGTGGATCACTTAAGGTCAGGAGTTCCAGATTAGCCTGGCCAACATGGTGAAACTCCAGTTCTACTAAAAACACAAATATGGGCCAGGCGCGGTGGCTCACGCCTGTAATCCCAGCACTGTGGGAGGCTGAGGCGGGTGGATCACGAGGTCAAGAGATTGAGACCATCCTGGTCAACATGGTGAAACCCCGTCTTTACTAAAAATACAAAAAATTAGCTGGGCATGGTGGTGCATGCCTGTAATCCCAGCAACTCAGGAGGCTGAGGCAGGAGAACTGCCTGAACCCAGGAGGCGGAGGTTGCGGTGAGCCGAGATCACGCCATTGCACTCCAGCCTGGGTAACAAGAGCGAAACTCCGTCTCAATTAAAAAAAAAAAAAAATACAAATATTAGCCAGGCATGGTGGCAATTCTCCTGCTTCAGCCTCCTGTAATCCCAGCTACTTGGAAGGCTGAAGCAGGAGAATCACTTAAACTTGGGAGGTGGAGGTTGCAGTGAGCCAAAATCACACCACTGCATCCAGCCTGGGCAACAGAGTGAAACTTCATCTCAAAAAAAACAAAACAAAAAAAAACTGACGAATCCAGTGGCTTGTCATTAATTTCCTAGAGGAGTAATAAAAAAGGATTAATTTTATGCATATGTAAACTGAAAAGGAATCCAAGGTATGCACATCTTTATGGAGATTTTCATCTTTTGAATTTTGTATTATAAATGTATAATCTATTAAATAAAATTTTAAAAAAAAACACTCTATTCAAAATTTAAAGTTAACATTTTCAAACAAATAGGGGAGTTAAATAAAAGAGGCTACACACTTGGGGTACATGAGGGAAACCAGTGTTTACCACTGCTCTCTTGGGATCTGATGAAAATGCCCCCTCTCAGGAACACATTAAAAGAGTTCCTTTCTTTTTCTTTTCTTTTTTTTTGAGACAGAGTTTTGCTCTTGTTGCCCATGCTAGAGTATAATGGTGTGATCTCAGCTCACTGCAACCTCTGCCTCCTGGATTCTAGAGATTCTCCTGTCTCAGCCACCCGAGTATCTGGGATTACAGGCACCTGCTACCATGCCCGGCTAATTTTTGTATTTTTCATAGAGATGGGATTCCATCATATTGGTCAGGCTAGTCTCGAACTCCTGAATTCACTTTGGAACCATCCACCTCGGCTTCCAAAGTGCTGGAATTACAGGAGTGAGCCACTGTACCCAGCAAGATCTCCTTTCTTAATGGCAGCTGGCAATATTTACAACAATGGCATTTTCAGAGCTGGGTATATCAAAACCCTCATCTTGAAAATTCCCTTTCTTTTTGAGACGGAGTCTCGCACTGTCACCTAGGCTGGAGTGTAGTGGCACAATCTTGGCTCACTGCAAACTCTGCCTCTCAGGTTCAAGTGATTCTCCTGCCTTAGCCTCCTGAGTAGCTGAAATTATAGGCGCCTGCCACCACGCCCGACTAATTTTTTGTATTTTTAGTAGAGATGGGGTTTCACTATGTTGGCCAGACTGGTCTCGAACTCCTGACCTCATGAACTGCCTGCCTTGGCCTCCCAAAGTGATGGGATTACAGGCATGAGCCAGCCAGTCACCAGGCCCAGCCTTTTTTTTTTTTGAAAAGAGATGAAGTCTTGCTCTGTTGGCCAAGCTAGAGTGCAGAGGTGCAATCATAGCAGCTTAAGCAAACCTCCTGCTTCACCCTCCCGAGTAGTTGAGACTACAGGTGTGCACCATTGTGCCCAGTTGATTTCATTTTTTTTATTTTTTGTAGGGATGGGATCTCCCTTTGTTGCCCAGGCTGGTTTTGAATTCCTGGTTTCAAGCTATCCTCCTGCCTCAGCTCCCCCAAGTGCTGGAAGTACAGGGGTAAGTCACTGTGCCTAGCCCTAAATTCTTGACGAACCAATAATTTTAAAACTTACATATACTTTAGTTCAGAGAACAGTACCCAAGAAACTGAAATTACTGCTAACTTTAGGTACACAAGTAGTTTAACACAAACGAAGACTCAAAAGACAACATTCTAGTCTGGCCAACACAGTGGGATCCCATTTCTATATAAAAGTAGGCCAGGCGCAGTGGCTCACGCCTGTAATCTTAGCCCTTTGGGAGGCTGAGGTAGGCGAATCACTTGAAGTCAGGAGTTCCAGACCAGCCTAGCCAACATGGTGAAACCCCATCTCTACTAAAAATGCAAAAATTAGCCGGGTGTGGTAGTGTGCACCTGTAGTCCCAGCTACTTAGGAGGTTGAGGCAGGAGAATCACTTGAACCCAGGAGGCAAAGGCTGCAGTGAGCAGAGATCACACCACTGCACTCCAGAGCCTGGGCAACAGAGCGAGACTTGGTCTCAAAAAAAAAAAAAAAAAAGCAGGGTCAAGAATAGCATGTAGTGTTCATATGACCCCAATTACACATAATTGGAAGAGTCTATGCATATACATAGAAAAGAAACAGAGAAGAGGAACCTGTAAAAACATCCACTAAAATGTTAATACAAAGTAATATTTCAGCATCAGAGGTGGCAGATTTAACCCATACCCAGCTGCCTGCTAGTAAGCAATGTCATCACCTACTCATACGGTCTACCTGTTAAGACTTACTTGGATTTTCTAGTAAGAAAAAGTGGGCTAGCATCTGGGCCCAGTGGCTCATACCTATAATCCTAGTACTTTGGGAGGCTGAGGAGGGAGGATTATGTGGTCAGAAGATTGAGATCATCCTGGTCAACATGGTGAAACCCTGTCTCTACTAAAAATACAAAAATTAGCTGGGCATGGTGGTGTGTGCTTATAATCCCAGCTATCTGGGAGGCCTGAGGCAGGGAGTTGGAGGTTACAGTGAGCCGAGAATGCGCTACTGCACTCCAGCCTGGCGACAGAGCAAAACTCCGTCTCAACAACAAAAAAGAAAAAGTGGGCTAGAAAAATCCTTGGATGTTTCCCCCTTCTTTTCATTCTAGCACTGGGACATCATGCCAAAAATGGAGCAGCCGGCCAGGCGCGGTGGCTCACGCCTATAATCCCAGCACTTTGGGAGGCCGAGACGGGTGGATCACGAGCTCGAGATTGAGACAATCCTGGTCAACATGGTGAAACCCCGTCTCTACTAAAAATACAAAAATTAGCTGGGCATGGTGGCACACGCCTGTAGTCCTAGCTACTCGGGAGGTTAAGGCAGGAGAATTGCTTGAACCCAGGAGATGGAAGTTGCAGTGAGCCAAGATCGCGCCATTGCACTGCAGCCTGGGTAACAAGCAAAACTCCGTCTCAAAAAAAAAAAAAAAAAAAAAAAACGGAGCAGCCACTATCACGGATGTAATCTTCTGGCTAGCTAGGTCCTTTAAAGACACGGTTCCTGCCTACCAGACCTCAGCTGCCCTGTGAAGGTGGCGTTTTCCTCACCTTTGTTAGCCTCTGAATATTCTTCTTATAAAGAGATGACAAGCATTGCTTCACCAGTCCCATGTTGTTATCACGAGTGAAAGTTTCACTGTGCTTATTCACCAGGTTTCGGAGTTCTGAGGGGTTGTTGGTTGAATACACTTGTGCTAACTCATGGTATGCATTGCTAAGAGGCTAAAGATGCAACGAAGGAAAAAATTCAGATTAAAACTTCAGAAGACTCAAATGTGTATAGGAAGCAAAAACACATTTTTATACAATTTTTTAAGCAAGTACATGTCCGGTAACAACCGACCGTTACCCTACACATTATAATTTACCCAAAGTAAATGCCTGATTTTTGACGGAGTCTCGCACTGTCACTTGGGCAGGAGCGCAGTGGCGCAACCTCGGCTCACTGCAACCTCCACCTTCCAGGTTCAAGCCATTCTCTTGTCTCAGCCTCCTGAGTAGCTGGGACTATAAGTGCCTGTCACCATACCTGGCTAATTTTTGGTATTTTTAGTAGAGACAGGGTTTCACTACTCTGGCCAGGCTGGTCTTAGATGCCTGCCCTTATGATCCACCTGCCTCAGCCTCCCAAAGTGTTGGGATTACAGGTGTGAGCCACTGCGCTTGGCCAATGCATGGTTTTTAAGACCAAGGATAGAAAGTCCTATGGAGTAATTTATTTTCAACAAAATTTTGTAGTGCAGAACAAGCAATAACACAGCAGGTGAAAACCCACTGAATTTAGTGAAGGCACATATATCTTAACAGTGGTCTGTTTCTCTACTGATAAATCACACAGAGAAGAAAGGAGACAAAACATTCATCATTCCCAACACTCCCTCTCTCTCATACCTCATCAGATGCAATGAAACAATATGCTACTTCTGCTAGCAAGAAGGAAGACAGGGGGCTGGGTGCAGTGACTCATGCCTGTAATCCCAGCGCTTTGGGAGGCTGAGGCAGGAGAATCCTTTGAATTCAGGAGGCGGAGACTGCAGTGAGCCAAGAACGCACCACTGCACTCCAGCCTGGGCGAAAGAAAACTAGCAGTGGCTAGGAAGCCAGACCAGCTTTAGGAATTTTATGCAAATTAGCCCCTATGCTAAATATTAAGAAATGGGTACAGAGGCCAATGGGAAGATGAAGTCTTGAAGGGTGCTACCAACAGGCAGAAACTTTGACTCTAGAATTTGCATTCTTTCTACCATTTATGATTATCATCATAAATAAATTACTAATTATTGTGAATGATGCCCTTGAGGCATGAAGACATTACTTTTTATGAACATTTCTTCTAAAACAGGCCAGCTCAGTCACCTGGAGTTCTCCAAAATGATCTGAGTAAGGCTGCATTAATGCTGCCCTGCCCATCACTCTTCCTTGGGAGTCCAAGGACCTCTCTTAACCACCTTCCCCTCCTCCCCACCAGGGGCCAAGCAGTCTAGAGCCCTGAGATCCACTAAAGGACTCTTAGGCAAAGGACACTTGGTTATCTTCCACAATCCAGCATAAAATTCCCAGTAAGAGGTTCTAACTGGCACTCTAAAATTTTAAGTTTTGTACAACGGCAATCAGGGTGAAATTATTATTATTTTTGGATACAGTCTTGCTCTGTTGCCAGGCTGGAGTGCAGTGGTGCAATCTTGGCTCACTGCAACCTCCGCCTCCTGGGTTCAAGTGATTCTTCTGCCTCAGCCTCCTGAGTAGCTGGGACCACAGGTGCGCGCCACCATGCCCAGCTAATTTTTGGATTTTTAGTAGAGATGGGATTTCACCATGTTGGCCAGGATGGTCTCTATCTCTTGACCTGTGATCTGCCCACCTCGACCTCCCAAACTGCTGCAATTACAGATGTGAGACACCGCACCCAGCCAGGGTGAAATTATTAAAAAGATTGTGACTTTCTAACCCTCTTAAACTGTTCAATTTTTCTTTTTGGGAGATGGAGTCTTACTCTGTCACCCAGGCTGGAGTGCAGTGGTGTGATCTTGGCTCACTGCAACCTCTACCTCCCCTGTTCAAGCGATTCTCATGCCTCAGCCTCTTGAGTAGCTGGGATCACAGGTACACACCACCATGCCTCGCTAATTTTTGCATTTTTAGTAGAAACAGAATTTCACCACATTGGCCAGGCTGGTCTCAAACTCCTGACCTCAGGTGGTCAGGCTTCCCAAAGTGCTTGGATTATAGTCATGAGCTACCACACCCACCTAATTTTTTTTTTTTTTAATTTTTTATTGGATTTTAGGTTTTGGGGTACATGAGCAGGGCATGTACGTAGGGCAGTTGCGTAGGTACGCACATGGCAGTGTGCTTTGCTTTGCTTCTCCCCTTCACCCACATTTGGCATTTCTCCCCAGGCTATCCCTCCCCACCTCCCCCCCCACTGGCCCTCCCCTTTTCCCCCCAATAGACCCCAGTGTTTAGTACTCCCCTTTCTGTGTCCATGTGTTCTCATTTTTCATCACCCGCCTATGAGTGAGAATATGCGGTGTTTCATTTTCTGTTTATTAAAAACAAAATTTCTTTTTAATGCTCCCTTTAGGCAGAATCAAGTTTTTTTTTTAAGCCATGAGGATGTGTTTTTAAAATTTTTTAAATAGTTAATTTCATTTTAAAACATGGTTCCAAAGCTAGGTTATCAGTAAAAACTGAATCCAAAGTTCAGTGAGCAGAGCTTATGGTTTCCTCCCCCTGTATGAATCTCTAGTAAGATTTCCCAATACTTGAGCAAAGTAAGTTCAGTAAAATCAGCACTGCTTCTTCTGTATTCTGGCTAAAATGTAATAAAGAAATACAACAAAACAAAATCAAGGCCAGGTGAAGTGGCACATGCCTGTAATCCTAGCACTTTGGGAGGCAGAAACAGAAGGACTGCTTGAGGTCACGAGTTCAAGACCAACCTGGCCAACAGAGCCAGACTCTTGGCAGTGGGGAGAGGGGTAAATCAACTGCTATAGGAGCTTAAACATGTATAGCTAGATGCTGTACCTAAAGCACAAGTTTGAAAGCAGGTTCCTGAGAAATATTCCATCCCAATCAGGTGACCGGAATGTGTACGGACTGGAATGGCGTTAAGCAATTCTAACAACACAGCTCCCAGCAAACATTTAATAAATTTATAGAACAGTATCATTGCAATTTCTTTATATACCGAACATACTCACATAAGAAATCAATTTTATTTAAAAAACTTACCTTAATGAATCTACCCACAATTTGAGATGTATATTTTGGGAGCTGTTGTACTTTGCCAAGTAATATCAAAGACACTAAAATATACTTTTTATATGATTCCAACATGATATGACTGACCGCCATGGCAGGAGTAGTTATAGCCTAGGCAAGAGAAGAATGCTTACTGTAAAGAGAATATGCCACAGTAGCAAATAGCAATCAACCACATGTATCACCTTAATTATAAATCAATAATACTTTTTAAATGTCCCATTATTTTTATAACAGCCTTATTGACATATAATTTTTTTTTTTTTTCACACAGAGTTTCGCTCTTGTTACCCAGACTGGAGCGCAATGGCACGATCTCGGCTCACCACAACCTCCGCCTCCTGGGTTCAAGCAATGTTCCTGCCTCAGCCTCCCGAGTAGCTGGGACTACAAGCATTTACCACCATGCCCAGCTACTTTTTGTATTTTTAGTAGAGTCGGGATTTCACCTTGTTGACCAGGATGGTCTCGATCTCTTGACCTCGTGATCCACCCTCCTCAGCCTCCCAAAGTGCTGGGATTATAGGCGTGAGCCACCGCGCCCGGCCATAATTCATTTTATTTTATTTTATTTATTATTTATTTATTTTTTGAGACAGAGTTTCGCTCTTGTTACCCAGGCTGGAATGCAATGGCACGATCTGGGCTCACCGCAACCTCTGCCTCCTGGGTTCAGGCAATTCTCCTGCCTCAGCCTCCTGAGCGGCTGGGATTACAGGCACGCACCACCGTGCCCAGCTAATTTTTTGTCTTTTTAATAGAGACGGGGTTTCACCATGTTGACCAGGATGGTCTCGAACTCTTGACCTCGTGATCTACCCGTCTCGGCCTCCCAAAGTGCTGGGATTACAGGCTTGAGCCACCGCGCCCAGCCCATTTTATTTTTTTTTATGTATTTAATTTTTAGAGCCAGGGTCTCACTCTGTCATCCAGCCTGGAGCGCAGTATTGTGATTATGGCTTACTGTACGCTCAAACTCCTGGGGTTCAAGCGATCTTCCTGCCTCAGCCTCCTGAGTACCTGGGACTATACGCGTGGGCTACCATGCTTGAATAATTTTAAAATTTTTTGTAGAGATGGGGGGGTCTCACTATGTTGTTCAGGCTGGTCTCGAACTTGTGAGCTCAAGTAATCCTCCCACTTCAGAATCCCAAAGTGCTGGGATTCCTGGTGTGAGCCACCATGCTTGGCCTGAGATATAATTCACATGTTATAAAATTTACTCTTGTGCCTGGTACAATGGCTCATGCCTGTAATCCCAGCACTTTGGGAGGCTGAGGTGGGTGGATTACTTGAGGCCAGAAGTTCAAGACCAGCCTGGTCAACATGGTAAAACCCTGTCTCTATTAAAAACAGAAAAATTGGCCAGGTGTAGTGGCTCATGCCTATAATCCCAGTACTTTGGGAGGCCAAGCTGGGCAGATCATGAGGTTAGGAGATGGAGACCATCCTGGCCAATATGGTGAAACCCAGTCTCTACTAAAAATACAAAAATTAGCTGGGTGTGGTGGCGCGTGCCTATAATCCCAGGTACTCGGGAGGCTGAGGCAGGAGAATCGCTTGAACCAGGGAGTCAGAAGCTGCAGTGAGGCCAAGATGGCGCCAGTGCACTCCAACCTGGTGACAGACCAAGCCTCTGTCTCAAAAAGAAGAAAGAAAAAAGAAAAATTAGCCAGGTGTGGTGGTGCCACGCCTGTAATCCCTGTTACTTGGGAGATTGAGATGAGAGAATCACTTAAACCCAGGAGATGGAGGTTACAGTGAGCCAAGATCATATCATCGCACCCCAGGGAAAAAATAAATTTACTCTATTAAAGTATACAATTCAGTGGTTCCCAATGTATTCACTATGTTGCAAAACAACACTACTATCTAATTTCAGAACATTTTCACCCCCCTACCCGATAGCTGTCATTTTCCATTCTCTCTGCCCCTCAGTTCCAGGCAACCAATATTCTGCTTTCTGACTATAAATTTGCTTACTCTGCACACTTCATATAAATGGCATCATGCAGTATGTGGAATTTTGTGACTGATTTCTTTAACTTGTGTTTTCAAAGTTCATCCATGTTGTAGCATGTATCAGTACTTCATTCCTTTTCGTGATTGAATAATATTCCTTTGTGTGGATATACCATATTTTATCCATTCCTCTGCTGATGAGCATTTGGGTTGCTTCTACCTTATGGCTATTATGAATAATGCTGCTATGAAAGTTAGTGGTCATGCTCTCATGTGAACACCTCTTTGTTTCTCTTGGGTATATTCTAAGGGGTGAACCTGCTGGGTCATATGGTAACTATGTTTAACATTGTGAGGAACTGCCAAACTGTGACTGTTTATTTACACTCCTGTCAGCAATTTTGAGACTTCTAAATTCTCCAGATCCTAACCAACACTTGTTACTGGCAATCTTTTGAAATCTTATCCATCCCAGAGGGTGTGAACCATATCACACTGTGGTCTTGATTTGTATTTCCTTTATGACAAATGATGATGAGTATCTTTTCATGTGCTTATTGGCCATTTGTGTATCTTCTTTGGAGAAATGTTTATTGAAATCTATCACCCACTTTAAAATTTTAGTCTTTTTATTGTTGAGTTGTAAGAGGTCTTTGTATATTCTAGATGTAAGTCTTTTATCAGAAATATGGTCTACAAATGTTTTCTCCCATTTTGTGTCTGCCTTTTCACTTTATTTCAAAACTATCATATCCAAATCAGCCCAAATCTTCCAAATCCAAATCCAAATAACTGAGCTTGTAAGGCACTCATTTGAGATGATTCTACAGAAACACTCATGTAAGGACATGAGGACACACATACAATGCTTCCCACTACAACACTTTTAATTGTGAAATATCAGAATCAACTTACAATTTCCATTGATCAGGCACTAGTAAACTCCTGGTCAATCTGAGTGGTATGAGAAGATGCTTTGCTTTATATAGCGGCATATGATCTAAATTTTTTTCAATTAAAAAATTTTTTCCTGGTGCATCTGAGTGTTATGAGAAGATGCTTTGCTTTATATAGTGGCATATGATCTAAATTTTTTTCAATTAAGTATGCCCTACTTTTGGAATTATTTTTAAAGCTGTAAAAAAATCTACATCACTTTCTGAAATTCAGGTAATATCATCTACAACTGCAAGCATATCATTAAAACAAAGTTGTATGAAGTAGACTAACACTAGACAATGCTTGTCATTAGGTCAAAATCAGGAAATCAGTTTATTTTCAAGCAAAAGGATTATACCTATAAATATCAAAAATGTTTTTAACATTTTAATTATTAGTGAAAGAAATATTTCCTAAGTGCACTGCACACTTTTTTTTTTTTGAGATGAAGCGTTGCTCTGTCGCCTAGGCTAGAGTATAGTAGCATGATCTCGGCTCGCTGCAACCTCCGCCTCCCAGGTTCAGGTAATTCTACTGCCTCAGCTTCCAGAGTAGCTGGGACTACAGGTGCACACCACCATGCTCGGCTAATTTTTGTATTTTTAGTAGAAACAGGGTTTCATCATATTGGTCAGGCTGGTCTTGAACCACCATATCTGTTAGGCAATCCACCCACCTCAGCTTCCCAAAGTGCTGGGATTACAGGCGTAAGACACTGCGCCCGGCCACTTTCTTGCCTTTTTTTTTTTTTTTTTGAGACGGAGTCTGCTCTGTCACCCAGGCTGGATTGTAGTGGCGTGATCTCGGTTCACTGCAACCTCTGTCTCCTGGTTCAAGAGATTCTTCTGCCTCAGCCTCCCAAGTAGCTTGGGATTACAGGTGCCCACCACCATGCCCAGCTAATTTTTGCATTTTTAGTAGAGACGGGGTTTCACCATATTGGCCAGGCTGGTCTTGAACTCTTGACCTCAGGTGATCTGCCTGCCTTGGTCTCCCAAAGTGCTGGGATTACAGGGGAGAGCCACTGCGCCTGGCTGTCTCTTGCCTTTTATTTTTTTGGGCGGGGTGGGAAGACGGAGTTTCACTTTTGCTACCCAGGCTGGAGTACAATGGTGCCATACAGCTCACTGCTACCTCCACTACTTCTGCCTCCAGGGTTCAACCGATTATACTGCCTCAGCCTCCCAAGTAGCTAGGATTATAGGCATGCGCCACCACACCCAGCTAATTTTGTGTTTTTAGTAGAGATGAGATTTCTCCATGTTGGTCAGGCTGGTCTCAAACTCCCCACCTCAGGTGATCCACCCACCTCAGCCTCCCAAAGTGCTGGGATTATAGGCAAGAACCACTGCACCCGGCCATCTCTTGCCTTTTTAATGCCCATATCATCTTGATATTTCAAGATCAGTTTGCTCATGAGTTACTATATTCAGCTACAGCAATGATAATGCATCCAGTGGCTCTGAAATGCATTTTTATAATTTTCTGAACGTGTAGACTTAAAGAGAAGTCACCTGACTAGACACATACTTAAATGACACCATCATCTCTGCCTACGGGCACCTTATGATGGCCCTTCTCAGGTACCCTCAACAGGACACATCAACCACTCATTGTAGTATGGCTCAGAGCCACAGGGTGTGTGTGTGTGTGTGTGTATGTGTTAGAATTCTACCTAAATTGACCTCTCTGAAGGTTTTAAATATCCTTCATTACTTAATACATGCTATGAACTAAATAGGACCTTATGAACATATGACTAATTTACCTTAAGACAACCGGTTTATTAATCCATATTGTACGTATCTTTTTCAGATTCTGAGTAAACCTCCAGAATAGTCTACCAATTGTGTATTATGTTTCATTACACAGACACAGAAAGGGTGGGAGTGGGTATAAAGGTATGTACTCCTTTATTCCCTTTAAATTTTGAATGAGAAGGTTTCACTGATTAAATAAAAACAAAATACCACACCTGGTTTTAGAATAAGAAGACGCATCCAAAATCATCAAGTTCAATCTCTTCCTTAAATGCAAAGGAAGCTATAAAGGTCAAGAGATTTGGCATAACTTATCCCAAATCAGGTAAGGCATAAGTGGCAAAGCCTAGATTAGCGCCCAGCCACAAGCACTCTTCTATGCACTGGCACTGCTCCTCAACTTAGGGAACAGGTTACCACCACGTACATGATCACAGAGAAGCAGTCTCTGAAAGGACCACCCCCTGAAATGGAGGCCCCGGGATCAGTCCACTCCAGCCACAAACCTGTGGGAGCACTTCTTTGGTCACACAAGTTCAGAACAACTTCAGGGACATTTAGAGAGATGATTACCTGTTCATAAAAGTAGAGCGCTCTTTCAAAGTTCTTCAGCCCAGTATAGATCATCCCTCCATAATAATAGTAACATAAAAAGTGCTTTGCATCATAGGCTCCATTCTCTTTACAGATATCCATCATATCCACGTCAAGATATGGAAGGGCAGGCTTAAAGCATTTTGCTAGCAAACAAAGCTGTGAACAAATTGATAGTAAATCATCACTTTAATTTTACTTTGGCAGATATCAGCAGAAGGAGAAAATTAATAGATTCTAGAAATTTCCATATAATTTTGTTTTACATTTTATTGACTAAAATGATCTAAATGTCAACACATTTCATGTATCTGAAATGCTTAGGACCAGAAGTGTTTCGTCTTCAGATTTCGGAATATTTGCAGAATATATACCAGTTGAGTATCCCTCATCTGAAAACCTGAAATCCAAATGCTCCAGTGAGCCCTTTCTTTGAGTGTCATGTTGGTGTTCAGAAAGTTTCAGATTTTGAATCATTTTGGGTTTCAAATTTTTGGATTAGGAATACTCAACCTGTACTCCATTTTCTTAGCCATTCAGAATAAAACAGCATTGCTTTGTTTTGTTTTTTTGAGACAGAGTCTCACTCTGTCCCGCAGTCTGGAATGCAGCGGCATGATCTTGGCTCACTGCAACCTCCACCTCCCAGGTTCAAGTGATTCTCCTGCATCAGCCTCCCGAGTAGCTGGGATTATAGGCGCAGTGCCACACCCAGCTAATTTTGTATTTTTAGTAAAGATGGGGTTTCACCACATTGGCCAGGCTGGTCTGGAACTCCTGATCTCAGGTGATCCATCCACCTCGGCCTCTCAATGTGCTAGGATTAGAAGTGTGAGTCACCGTGCCCAATCCAGGATTTCTCTATAAAAAACTAAACTGCAAGGCCCAGCACTGCTATTTACAATGTTTCTTAAAGGAAACAATATAAATACCCCATGCAGACTTGTGAAACCATGGCATACTCATATTATAGAATACTCTGTACCTGTAGAGAACCACTATGGAATAATCACCAAGATATGTTAAATAGAAAAAGCAAGCTACATAAGAGTTTGCAAAATTATTAAAATTTGTGTAAAAAATAAGAAAATATATATTCATATTTGCTTTTTTTTTGAGACGAAGTTTGCCCAGGCTGGAGTGCAATGGCACATCTTGGCTCACCACAACCTCTGCCTCCCAGGTTCAAGTGATTCTCCTGCCTCAACCTCCCAAGTAGCTGGGATTACAAGCATTCGCTACCACACCTGGCTAATTTTTGTATTTTTTTTTTTTTGTTTTTTTTTTGGGACGAAGTTTCGCTCTTGTTTACCCAGGCTGGAGTGCAATGGCGCGATCTCGGCTCACCGCAACCTCCGCCTCCTGGGTTCAGGCAATTCTCCTGCCTCAGCCTCCTGAGTAGCTGGGATTACAGGCACGCGCCACAGTGCCCAGCTAAGTTTTTTTGTATTTTTAGTAGAGACGGGGTTTCACCATGCTGACCAGTATGGTCTCGATCTCTTGACCTCGTGATCCACCCGCCTCGGCCTCCCAAAGTGCTGGGATTACAGGCGTGAGCCACCGCGCCCGGCCCAATTTTTGTATTTTTAATAGAGACAGGGTTTTGCCATGTTGGCTGGGCTGGTCTCGAACTCCTGACCTCGGGTGATTCACCCGCCTCAGCCTCCCGAAGTACTGGGATTACAGGCATGAACCACTGCGCCCAGCCTCATATTTGCTTTTAAGTCCATAAAACGTCTTTGAAAGGATACACGAGAAATTACTAACATAGTTTCCTTTGCAGAGAAGAAACAGAAGGCTAGCGAACAGAGTGGGAGGGAGACTTCATTATATACACACCCTTTTGCCTTCTGGATTTTGAACACCACAAAATAAGATAAATAAAAGAATAACATTTTAAGGTGTAAGAAGTTACTTATGTTAAGTCCCAGGTTCCATAAACTTTTTTTTTTTTGAGACGGAGTTTCACTCTTGTTATCCAGGCTGGAGTACAATGGTGCGATCTCGGCTCACCACAACCTCCGCCTCCTGGGTTCACGCAATTCTCCTGCCTCAGCCTCCTGAGTAGCTGGGATTACAGGCACGCACCACCATGCCCGGCTAATTTTTTGTATTTTTAGTAGAGACGGGGTTTCACCATGTTGACCAGGATGGTCTCGATCTCTTGACCTCATGATCTACCTGCCTCAGCCTCCCAAAGTGCTGGGATTACAGGCGTGAGCCACCGCACCCAGCCCCATAATTTTTTTTTTGAGGCAGAGTCTTGCTCTTGTTGCCTAGGCTAGAGTGCAATGGCATGATCTCAGCTCACTGCAACCTCCGCCTCCTGGCTTCCAGCAATTCTCCTGCCTCAGCCTCAAGTAGCTGGGATTACAGGCATGTGCCACCACACCTGGCTAATTTTGTATTTTTAGTAGAGATGGGGTTTCTGCATGTTGGTCAGGCTGGTCTTGAACTCCTGACATCAGGTGATCTGCCTGCCTCAATCTCGTGAAATGCTGGGATTACAGGTGTGAGCCATCGGGTCTGGCAGGTTCCACAGTTTTGTTTTTTGTTTTTTTTGATGGAGTCTTGCTCTGTGGCCAGGCTGGAGTGCAGTGGCACAATCTCAGCTCACTGCAACCTCCATCTCCCGGGTTCAAGCAATTCTCCTGCCTCAGCCTCCTGAGTAAATGGTATTACAGATGTATGTCACCATGCTCAGCTAATTTTTGTATTTTTAGTTGAGACAGGATTTCACCATGTTGGCCAGGATGGTCTTGATCTCTTAACCTCGTCATCTGCCCACCTGGGCCTTCCAAAGTATTGGTATTACAGGTGTTAGCCACTGCACCCACTCGGTTCCACAATTTTTAAAATGATTCAGGATTTTTTAAAAAGTTACAACTAGGATGGGGTGCAGCAGCTCATGAGGTCAGTTCAAGGCCAGCCTGGCCAACATGGTAAAACCCCATCTCTACTAAAAATAAAAATATTAGCTGGGCATGGTGGCACACACTTGTAGTCCCAGCTACTTGGGAGGCTGAAGTAGGAGAATGCTTGAACCTGAAAGGCAGTGGTTGCAGTGAGCCAAGATCACGCCACTGCACTCCAGCCTGGGTGACAGAGCGAGACACTGTCTCAAAAAAAAAAAAAAAAAAGTACAACTATTAATTATACTATTGGTTCCACAAGCTTACTAGCTGAGCCCCATCCTAGAGTTTGCATCCAGCACCCTCCTGAATATAATAGATGTATCCACATAGTCCAACTTCTATAACACATCATGGTATCCGCCAACTTGCCTTGATTTATCAAACCCAATGTTGAGGAAGCCCATAAACAACCTACACCTCTGACCTGGTGTGAATCACACACTTTGGTTGCTTACCTGGCAGAGATCAGCATGTATTGAGGTCAGCTGGTTTGTATTCATCTGCATCTTGTCTATGGCTTGCTTAAGGATGCCAATTCCTCGAAGGGGCTGTCAGAAATGACATCTCTTTCAGATAAGTTCTCAAAGATGGCAGCACATTGGATCTTATGTTGTCACTTACAAATAAAAAATAATACTAATTGATAGGTTCCTTTAAATACCAATATAAGGTTTCCATACTCTTTCAGGAAATTTCTGTCCCATTTAAGTCAGAAAATGTTTTCTTAAGCTGTTTCTTGGAATTTTTAGTAATTCAGCATTATTTTTTAAATCATAAAAATCTTTTATTTTTACAATGAAGATCAATAATCAGAAACAATGTTACTTCCTCAACAGTTCACTGTATTAACATCTAAACAAATGAAAACTTTCCAAATCACTGATTATACAAGAGATAACAGCTTATGCTTAGGAAAATTGCTTGTGGATAGGGATGATAGGGCAGTCTAGCCCTTACCTGGTAGTAAATTACCACCAAAACTAACACCATAGATTTCAAAAGGACTGTTTCCTGCCCTGATTATAAATAACAAGACCAAGTGTCAAGTGAGGCATAATCAATTTTTGGAGAAGAGACTAAAAATATCTCAATAACTTACAGCTTTTCCAAAAACTCCTGATTTTTCTTAACCATCTCTTTCAAACAGTTTACTTAGTATTACAAAATAACAACTGGTTCTATTTTCAGCCTCTTTCAAACCACTAATCTTAAATTCATTTTCAAATTAAAAATAAACACCTGACTGGGTACAGGGGCTCACACCTCTAATCTCAGCACTTTGGGAGGCTGAGGTGGCCTGATGACCTGAGGTCAGGAGTTCTAGAGACTAGCTTGGCCAACATGGCAAAACCTCATCTCTATTAAAAACACAAAAATCACTGAGAGGCCAAGGCGGGCAAATCGCCTGATGTCAGGAGTTCGAGACCAGCCTGGTCAACATAATCAAATGCTGTCTCTACTAAAAGTACAAAAATTAGCCAGGCATGGTGGCAGGCACCTGTAATCCTAGCTACTCAGGAGGCTGAAGAATTGCTTGAACATAGGATGAGGAGACTGTAGTGAGCTGAGATCGCACCACTGCACTCCAGCCTGGGTGACAGAGAGACTCTCTCTCAAAAAAAAAAAAAAATAATCAGCCAGGCATGGTGGCACGTGCCTGTAGTTGCAGCTACTCAGGAGGCTGAGGCACAAGAATTGCTTGAACCCAGAAGGTGGAGGTTGCAGTGACCTGAGATCACACCACTGCACTCCAGCCTAGGCAACACAGTAAGACTCCATATCAAAAAAAAATAACTAAATAAATTTTCTTTAAAAATCCACATTATAACTTACTATTATAAAAGATAAAGACTGAAGCACTATTCCAGATTATGGGACACTAAAGAGACACAGCAATATAATGCAACCCATGGCCCAAGGTTTTCTTTTGCTATACAGACACTGTCTGAATAGCTAATGTCCTTTAGCAAAAGACAGTCCTTTTGATTGGCTGAAAATCTAAATGGGGTTTGTCAATTTGTTGATGCGTTATATTAATGTTCATTTCTGGGCCAGGCGTGGTGGCTCACGCCTGTAATCCTAGCATTTTGGGAGGCCGAGGCAAGCGGACTGCCTGAGCTTAGGAGTCAAAGACCAGCTTGGCAACATGGTGAAAACCCGTCTCTACTAAAATACAATTAGCCAGTGTGGTGGCATGCACCAGCAGTCCCCAGCTACTCAGGAGGCTGAAGCAGGAGAACTGCTTGAATCTGGGAGCTGGAGGTTGCAGTGAGCTGAGATCACCCCACTGCAATCCAGGCTAGGCGTTAGAGCTAGACTCTGTCTCCCCCTGCCAAAAAAAAAAAAAAAAAAGTTCATTTTTGGATGCTGACCATTACACTGAAGTATTTAGGGATAAAGAACAACACATGTGCAATTTACTTTCCAATGGCTCAGAAAAAAAAAAAGGAAGAGAGAAAAAAAGAGTAAGTGTGGTAAAATGTTAACATTTGGAGAATATAGGTGAAATGTATGAGAATTTTTTATATGATTCTTGAGGCTTTTTGTAAGGCTAAAATAATGTCCTAATTAAAAGTTAAAATAAAAAATGTAACAGATAAAATCCAGCTATTGCAACATAAAGGGTACTAGCTTGGTAATTCCAACTACTTGGTAGTTCCACCACCAGCAGCCTCCCTGGGGTGCTACACCGCCCTGTGCCTCCACCTCACTTAAGGGATGCTGGGGCTACCTATACTTATAGCAATGGCTGTGAGTGCTCTGAAGTGACTATGGACATCTAGATGTCAGATGCTCAATACTAACCTGGAATCTTTATAAAGTAGTGCATTGTATAAGCTAGTTACATATTATAGCAACTAGGAATGCTTGAATAGTATTTCTTACCTGTTTTCTTTCCACAAGTGCATTTGTTAGCTGATGGCAAAGCCCAGCAACTAGATACAATAACAAAATATTGAACATATAAATATAACCACAAGGGAAAAATACTTTCAATGGAAAATAAAATGTTATTTAGCTTACAAGTGTCTGTTGCATATCGAATGTGCTCCCCATTACAAGTACTGATGAAAAGCTGAACCTGTGAGAACAGCGTTTCAAAGTCAGGAACACTGGGCATAGAAAACTTCACAAACCTAGAATGAGCAGAAAAGAATCAAATTATCCTGATAGTTCATGGCATAAAATACAGAAGCAACATATGCAAGAAAGCCATCCTGCCTCCGACACTCGGTAAAATTTAATGAGGAACAGTATTTTTTTTTTTTCGAGACAGCATCTCGCTCTGCTGCTCAGGCTAGAGTGCAGTGGCGCGATCTCAGCTCACTGCAGCCTCAAGGGATTCTCCCACCTCAGTCTCCTGAGTAGCTGGGACTACCTGCATGCACCACCATGCCTAGCTAACTTTTGTATTTTTAGTAGAGGTGGGTTTTCACCATGTTGGCCAGGCTGGTCTTGAACTCTTGACCTCATGATCCACCTGCCTCGGCCTCCCAAAGTGCTGGTATTACAAGTGTGAGCCACCATGCCCGGCCTGAGCAACAGTATTTTTTAGAATTGAGAACAAGGCCAGGACGGTGACTCATGTCTATAATCCAAGCACTTTGGGAGGCTGAGGCAGGAGGATTGCTTGAGGCCAAAAGTTTGAGACCAGCCTGAGCAACATGGTGAGCCCGTCTCTACTACAAAAAATAAATTAGCCAGACATGGGGGTGCATGTCTGTAGTCCCAGACTTGGGAGACTGAGGCTGAAGGATCACTTGTGTCTACAAGGTTGGGCTGCAGTGAGCTATGGTCATGCCACTGCATTCCAGCCTGAGTGACAGAGTAAGATCCAGTCTCAAAAAAACAATAAGAACCAGAGACTGTAAAATTCTCCTGACCTGGTTCTTTTGCACAATCAAGATACAGAGTAGGCACAAATAAGGGTTAAGAAAAATATGTTTAGACTGGGTGCGGTGGCTCACGCCTGTAATCCCAGCACTTTGGGAGGCCAAGGTGGGCAGATCATTTGAGGTTGGGAGTTTGAGACCAGCCTGACCAACATGGAGAAACCACGTCTCTGCTAAAAATACAAAAGAATTAGCTGGGCTTGGTGGTGCATGCTTATAATCCCAGCTACTGAGGAGACTGAGGCAGGAGGATCGCTTGAACCCAGGAGGCGGAGGTTGCTGTGAGCTGAGATCTCACCATTGCACTCCAGCCTGGGCAACAAGAGCGAGACTCCGTCTCAAAAAAAAAATAGCTGGATGAGGTGGCTCACACCTATAATCCCAGCACTTTGGAAGGTTGAGGCAGGCGAATCATGAGGTCAGGAGTTCAAGACCAGCCTGATCAACATGATGAAACCCCATCTCTACTAAAAATGCAAAGTTAGCTGAGTGTAGAGGCGAGTGCCTATAATCCCAGCTACTCAGGAGGCTGAGGCAAGTTAGCCAAGACCAGCCTGGGACACAGAGTCTCCATCTCCAAAAAAAATTAAAAAAATAAAAAGAAAAATGTTTAATCAAGAACAACTTTCAAGATGAAAAACTCCACTAAATGAAACCAAAGATGCTGGGGCACGGTGGCTCAAGCCTGTACTCCCAGCTCTTTGGGAGGCCAGGCCAATCACCTGAGGTCAGGAGTTTAAGACCAGACTGATCAACATGGTGAAACCCTGTCTCTACTAAAAGTACAAAAAAATTCCCTAGTTGTGGTGGCATGAACCTGTAATCCCAGCCACTTAGGAGGCTGAGGCAGGAGAATCACTTGAAACCAGGAGGCAGAGTCTGTAGTGAGCAGAGGTCACACCACTGCACTCCAGCTTGGGCAACAGAATGATAACTGTCTCAAAGAAAAACTAAATAGATATTACCTAATCATAATTTCTCCTACATCTTTTGGTCTGTCTACTTCCATCCATACTGTATTATTTAACAATGTCACCACAGATCTGTATTTACACTTTGTAATTATCAAAACATGTCAGAAACAATTTCATTTGGGGTTCAAAATAGGTCAGTAAGGTATTGCGACTGTCATTTTTTTTTTTTTTTTGAGACGGAGTTTCCCTCTGTCACCCAGGTTGGAGTGCAATGGCACGATCTCAGCTCACTGCAACCTCCTCCTCCTGGGTTCAAGTGATTCTGCTGCCTCAGTCTCCTGAGTAGCTGGGACTACAGGCACATGCCACCATGTCTGGCTAATTTTCTAATTTTTTAGTAGAGACAGGGTTTCACCATATTGGCCATGCTGGTCTTGAACTCCTGACCTCATGATCCGCCCACCTTGACCTCCCAGTGCTGGGATTACAGGTGTGAGCCACCATGCCTGGCTCTGATTGCCATTTTATAAATAAAAATATGAAATTCAGGGCCCCACAACTCAAAATTGGAAGAATGTAGATTTAAAACCAGGGTACCCAATCATAAGCTCAGGGTTCTTTCCATATCTAACATATACAATGGTAAAACATCTTATAGCTTTAAAATGCTTTCATGTCCATTACTCACTTGATATATGTATAGGTGAGTTTATGTGTACATAAAACATCCATGCCATCTGTTCTTTTTTGCAAGAGGGGCCTTGCTGTCACTCAGGCTGGAGTGCAGTGGTGTAAGCATAGCTCACTATAGCTTCAACTTCCCAAGATCAAGCAATCCTCCCACTTCAGCCTCCTGGGTAGCCAGAACCACAGGCATGTGACACCACACCCAGCTAACTTTGTTGTTTTTTTTGAGATAAGGTCTTGCTCTGTCACCCAGACAGGAGTGCAGTGGCATGAGCACAGCTCACTGCAGCCTCAATCTCCTGGACTGAAGCTATCCTTCTACCTCAGCCTCCTGAGTAGCCAGGACCACAGGTGTATACCATCACGCCTGCCTAATTTTTTTTTTTTTTTTTTTTAAGAGACAGGGTTTTGCCACGTTGCCCAGGCTGGTCTCAAACTCCTGAGCTCAAGCAATCTGCCCACCTCAGAGTGGGAATTACAAATCCTGGGATTACAGGCATAAACCACTGTACCCAGCCACTTTTTTTTTTTTTTTTTTGGTAGAGATGGGGTCTTGCTATGTTGCCCAGGCTGGTCTCAAACAGATCCTCCCACCTCAGCCTCCCAAAGTGCTAGGATTACAGGTGTTAGCCACTGTGCCCAGCATCTGCTCTTTCATATAAGTAAGAAAATAAGGCCGGGAGCGGTGGCTCAGCCTGTAATCCCAGCACTTTGGGAGGCCGAGGCGGGTGGATCACGAGGTCAAGAGATCGAGACCATCCTGGTCAACATGGTGAAATGCCGTCTCTACTAAAAATACAATAAATTAGCTGGGCATGGTGGCGCGTGCCTGTAATCCCAGCTACTCAGAGGAGGCTGAGGCAGGAGAACTGCCTGAACCCAGGAGGCAGAGGTTGCAGTGAGCCGAGATCGCGCCATTGCACTCCAGCCTGGGTAACAAGAGCGAAACTCCGTCTGAAAAAAGAAAAAGAAAATAAAGACAGTAGAAATCTTTTTTTTTTTTTTTACAGAGTGTTGCTCTGTCACCAGGCTGGAGTGCAGTGGCGCAATCTTGGCTCACTGCAACCTCCGCCTTCCGGGTTCAAGTGATTCTTCTGCCTCAGCCTCCCGAGTAGCTGAGACCACAGGCACGTGCCAGCATGCCCGGCTAATTTTTTTGTAATTTTAGTAGACATCTTTACCAGCACTGTCCAACAGAACTATTTGCAGTGGTGGAAATGTTACAGATTTGTGCTAAGACATGGACATGTGACCACATGTGGCTACTGAGTACTTGAAACATGGCAAGTACACCTGAATCTTTTTTAATTTTAATTTACATAGCTGCATATGGCTAGTGGTCACCATACTGCAGAGCATAGCTCTAGATCCTTCTATTCTGACCAAGTTTCTTCTCTAAACTCTACTCTGCACACATACCTTTGTCTCAGGAATCCCAGCATAAGTGAAGCCAGACTCTCACTTTAAGTCAATTTCTTCTCAGTTTATTTATATCATTTAATTGTCAAGACAACCACAATATCCCAATTTATAATAATATAACATCAAGAGAAGAATTCTATCACCAAGTACACAGTTATAAGGACTCCCAATTAAAGGAAGCTCTATTTAATTTGGTCTTAAATAGCTTAAATTTGTCTGAAGGGAATTCTAAGCAACATTGCTTGGGATCTTTGATATTTTTTCTTGTTTTGAGACAATGTCTCATTCTGTCATGGAGGCTGATCCTACCGTCTTAATTGTAGCTTACTGAAAGCCTTGAACTGAGCTCAAGCCATCCTCCCACCTCAGCATCTTGAGAAGCTAGGACTACAGGCATGTACAGCTACACCCAGCTAATTTTTTTATTCTTTGCAGAAATAAGGCCTTGTTATGTTGCAAACTATAGGCCCCACAATTGAGATGGCCATTTTTTAAAACAAATTTTCAAAATTTGTATAAACAAAAAGGAGTTTATAAAAATGATAAAACTGAACAAAATACAACAAGCAATGATTAGTTGGAATGAGTAAAATGTAACTACTACAACTTTAGTTTTGCAAAGGAGCTCAATGTTGTTTCTAATGATTTACTTTCTACACCAAAAATAAAGCCAGAAAGTGCAGAGTGTTCAGTTTTAACAAGCACAAAACTATAAAAGAAGATGCCCCTTACAAAACAGCAAGGACGCCCAAGGAGTGCTCTTGTACATCCAGAGCCCCGAGCACAGTGTCCAGATGGGATAAGTTCTTCGCAAGGAGTTCCCCACTCTTGTTGATCAGTTCACAAAGCTGTGTCATTTGCCCTGGAAAACAGGAACAACACTATTGTATTTCAGCTACAGCACTAACCAAACTAAAGGAACTCCAACCACAGCTTTGTACTTCAGAGCCTGAAGTGCTCAAAAATGACTTACACATTCTTCATTTCGGATGAGGACCCAGAAGGACCAGAGGAGGGAAAGAACTTGTCCGTGGTCTCAAAATGAGTTAGAGATTACACTGGACCTTCCACTTCTCTCTGAATTTTTCACATTTTCCTCTATTCCGTTTTCCAGTCTCCCAAGCCAGAAATGTACATGTTACTATTAGCACCTCTCTGAATCCAGATGATTTAGTTTTACTTTCTCTCTCAGCTCCATTCCTTTTTCACTTCCCTCCCTGCCTTAATTCAGATCCTCATCATTTTTTGTCTGGACTATATCATAAATCTTCTTCTTCTTTTTTTTTTTTTTTTTTTTTTGAGATGGAGTTTCACTCTTGTTGCCCAGGCTGGAGTGTAATGGCGTGATCTCGGCTCACCACAACCTCTGCCTCTGGGTTCAAGTGATTCTCCTGCCTCAGACTCCCAAATAGCTGGTATTACAGGCATGTGGCACCATGCCCAGCTAATTATCTTTATTTTTAGTAGAGACGGGGTTTCTCCATGTTGCTCAGGCTGGTCTCCAACTCCCGACCTTCAGTGATCCGCCTGCCTTGGGCTCCCAAAGTGCTGGGATCAGAGGTGAGCCACCACACCTGGCCTACATCTTCTAAATGGTCTGCCTACTACGATCTTTCTCTCCTCCAACCCACACTTCATAACCCACTAGTCTGTTCTAAACTGCGCATTCAATCGAATTACTCCAATGAGTTTAAGAAATCCAAATGCCTTAGCCTGAACTAAGGACCTTCAGTAACTGGTCCCTGCTACCTTTGCAGCCTTATCTCCTGATACTTCCCCTCACAAACCTACTCTTTGGTCACAGCAAGCTCAGAAAAATCAACATTCTATGTTCTCTCCTCTTTATGCTTCTACACATGCTGTTTTCTATCCTCCTCCCGACATCCTCTGCTACCTGACTGAGCCTCATCCAGCATTCAACAATCAGCTTGTGGCGTCTCTGGACCCTCATTTCAGTTCCCTTCCCCATGGATAAGCTGGATATCTGCCCTCTCTGCCTCACATGGGACTGTGGTGGTTAGGTAATTCAGTAAACTCAGGTGGAGGGACTGTCCCTTTCTCCAGCTCTAGAATACAGCACATGCTTAGCAGCTTATCAAGCAAGCAGCTACCTGTTGAATTAATCTCCTAACTGATCTATTTTTCCCCTATACTAAAATACTATGTTTGTTTTGTTTTCTTTTTTGAGACAAGATCTTATTCTGTCACCCAAGCTACAGTGCAGTGGTGTGATCACAGCTTGCCACAGCCTCAACCTCCTGGGCTCAAGCAATCCTCCCATCTTAGCCTCCCAAGTAGCTGGAACTACAGGTGTACGTCACCATGCCCATCTTATTTTTAAAATGTTTTGTACATTCTAGAGTCTCACTATGCTGCCCAGGATGGTCTCCTATTCCTGGGCCCAAGCAATCCTCCTGCCTCAGCCTCCCAAAGTGCTGAGATTACCAGCATTAGCTACCAAACCTGGCCTGCAATGCCATGTTTTAACAACTAAGGTACAGAATCTATTAATAATTCAGCCTCAGCCGGGTGCTATGGCTCACACCTGTAATCCCAGCACTTTCAGAGGATGAGGCAGGCAGATCTCTTCAAGACAGGAGCTCAAGACTAGGCTGGCTAACATGGCAAAACCGTGTCTCTACTAAAAATACAAAAATTAGCTGGGTGTGGTAGCACACACCTGTAATTTCAGCTACTTGGGGGGCTGAAATGGAAGAATCCTTGAACCTGGAAGATGGAGGCTGTAGTGAGCTGAGATCACGCCACTGCACTCCATCCTGGGCAACAGAGCAAGACTCCGTCTGAGGGAAAAAAAAAAAAATAGGCCTGAATTGACACCATGAAGTAGATCCATCGATTTCGACAATTATTCTCATGGCAGACACCATGGTCACACTCTAGTTGGTAACAGAGGGAATATATTTAAGTCCATGGGCATTAACTCAAGTCTCCTACTTCTGTGCTTCTACATAACAACTGCATCATCTTTTCCTTACTAAAAGAATACAACATCGTATAATTCTTAAAATACAAGTGACTATAGCCAGATACTTTTTATAATCTAATTTCTGGTGCTCCTATAATACTTTTAAATTTGATACATTTTACTGAAAGCAAAGGAAATATATCATTATTATACATGTATGGCAAAACAAGAATAAAATAGCTGTGATCTTATTAGCTATCACCTCTTGAGATCACACAGATTTAACTAGGAAATACCAACTCATCATAATTTTATTACAGATCTCACTGGTAGGTATGAAGTAACTTCTTCCAGTTAAATAATTTGCCTTTTTAACCATTACTCTAAATATATTAACAATAATTTGTAACACCCAGAAATAAGCATTGCAATCGATTAGTTCTCTACTAGTTAATAATCAGTGCCAAGTTGAGACTGAAATAAAAGCTGGGTCACTATGAAATCCTTAGATAACTAATATTAGTGCAGGGCCAAGGACAGAGTCAAAAAAAAGTGTAAGTGCCCCAGAGTGCATTTGAAATCAGTCCAACCAGAGATGTGGCCAATGAAATTCTAATTAGAAAAAGCTGGATATTATAATTCTTTTGAGGTGTACATTAGAAAATTCTGAAGAAAAGCAGAGAAAACAAACTCAAAGTTTTTTTTTTTTAACTTTTATTTATTTTTGGGGGGACAGAGTTTTGCTCTTGTTGCCTAGGCTGGAGTGCAATGACATGATTTTGGCTCACTGCAACCTCCACCTCCCAGATTCAAGTGATTCTCCTGCCTCAGCCTCCTGAGTGGCTGGGATTACAAGTGCCTGCCACCAGACTCAGCTAATTTTTTTGTATTTTGAGTACAGACGGTGTTTTGCCATGTTGGTCAGACTGGTCTTAAACTCCTGACCTGAGGTGATCCACCCACTTCAGCCTCCCAAAGTGCTTGCGATTACAGGAGTGTGCCACGGTGCCCTGCCTGAAACGCAAAGATTTTCTGTGCAGTGAGCGTGAGGCACAGTAGCTGACAGCAGTGAAAGTAGTCATACTGATCTCTGTCTAGCACACTGTTCCTATAGCATCCTACAACCTGATGCCCACAAAAGCCTTAGGGCTGTTTTGTAAATCAGAAAATTGGCCCAGAGAAATTAAGTGGCTAGCACAAGAAGTGACGGAGAAGGGATTTCAACCTGAAGCTTCTAACTACACTACTCCACAGGAAGGAGAAAACTGAGTATTTGTGGCATAAATTAACAAACCAGTGGTTCCTTTATTCATAGAAAATGCAAGTCTGTGTCTTCCCTGTGAACCTAATTTCTATTAATAAAAAGGAAAATGAGGAAGAACTATTATTTATTAAGCACAGCTCCACTTACACCAGTGAGGTAAAAGCACTCCTCCATTTTCACAATGGAGACACAAAAGACTCAGAGATTAAAGGCGATTTGTCCAAGGTCACGCAGCTCCTAGAACTTTACAATTAATGACGATAACAATTTGCAGCTGTATTTATTGCCCCCCTTATGACAGACACTCTCATTTAATCTTCACATTTCTGTATTAAGTAGGTACTTATTTCGCAGACGAAGAAACTGAAGCATGGGATAATTAAAGGGGCCTTCACAGCAGCATCTAATAATTATAATTTCGGGTCCAGAATTCGGTATATTCATATGTGATGAATGAACCAAACAACCTGGAAAGTGAGAGCAAAATAATCACAGTTCTACCCCTAGAAATGGAGTCCTGGCCAGGCGCGGTGGCTCACGCCTGTAATGCCAACACTTTGGGAGGCCGAGATGGGCGGATCACTTGAGGTAAGGTGTTCGAAACCAGTCTGGCCAACATAGTGAAACCCCATCTCTACCAAAAATCCAAAAAAAAAAAAAAATTAACCGTGCGAGGTGGTGGGCGCTTGTAAGATCAGCTACCCGGGAGGCTGAGGCAGGAGAATCGCTTGAACCTGGGAGGCGGAGGTTGCAGTGAGTCGACATCGCGCCACTGCACTCCAGCCTGGGTGACAGAGCGAGCCCCTGTATCAAAAGAAAAGAAAGAAAAAAAAAGAAAGGGGGTCCTACGTATGAGAGCTTCTGCAGCATTCTGTAGGACCAAAATAGGCGCACGGGTTCCCGAGCGTGCGCCGCCTGGCAGCGGAGGAGCCGGCCAAGACAAGCCGCTGAGCGAAGGCACCCAGAACCTACTCGCCTCCAGCCGGCTCCCAGCGGCCTAGTCCGCAGGCGGCGGGGAAACTGACATGGCGGTACGCCAATCACCAAAGGCAAGAGAGACAAAAGAGACCAATAGTTACCCGAGAAGGCGTCTGGCGGAAGTCACGCCCCCAAACTGTCAAGCAAAGCGCCCGGTGGAAGGGGCCCGCGCCGGGGGGAGGGGAGCTCCTGGCGGCCCGAGGGAGGGGAGGCCGGCCGGCGAGGACCGCGGAGGGCGAGTGGGCTGACTACACCGGCCGCGCTCGATCCTGCCCTGATCTAAACGCTGCAACCCTGATCCCGTCCCCGGAGAAGAGGCTCAGGGCAAAAGGGCGGTTCCAGCCATCTGTGCTGGCGCCTAGGGATGCAGGCCCGTCCCCGGTACCCGCCCAGGCCCAGCCCGGTGGCCTAGGGCCTCACCTTGAGCAGAGAGCTGTCGGACACTGTTCACGAACTGCTCCAGGGCAGACGCCATGTTTTCCCCTGAGCGACTCGAGCGGCGAAGGCAGCACGCGCGGGAAAAGACTGCCGCTCTAGGAGGAGGAGCCACGCCGATCCACCTGAGGTCCTCGCGAGTAGCAACGTCACTTCCGGTGCTTCAAGCACCGCGAGACTCTCCTTAACTGCCAACACGTTGGTGTTTCCATGGAAACAGCCGCAATTCGCCGTAATCGGAAATTGGCGTCAGTCGTCCCTCCCGCCTTCTTCATTCAGTGCGCTTGTGAAATCCCTCCGCACATTAAATTGGGGATAGTGGGCATAGAAAGGAACGAAACTCATAACTAAACAAGTATTTTCCGGTCTGGATTTTGCTAGAGTGGCCCTGCGGTTTTCCACCTGGACAGATGCTTCAATGAGGCAAGACTTCATTGCCGCGTCTGCCATGAAGTTTTCCCCGTGATTTTAGGCTCTGGTAGCTGTGTGACTTTTGAGCAAGTCATTTGACCGTCGTGTGCGTCGTTTTCCCCATCTGTAAAATCTCAGTGTCCTTAAACGCATAAATCACTTAGGACAGCGCTAGGGAGAACTATAGTTATTCCTTCAAGATGTACTTTGAATGGGGCCAGGCGCGGTGGTCACGCCTGTAATCCCAGCATTTTGGGAGAACGAGGCGGACGGATCACGAGGTCAGGAGATTGATACCATCCTGACTAACATGGTGAAATCCCATGTCTACTAAAAATACAAAAAATTAGCCGGGCGTGGTGGCATGCGCCTGTAGTCCCAGCTATTTGGGAGGCCGAAGCAGGAGAGTTGCTTGAACCCGGGAGGCAGAGGTTGCAGTGAGCCAAGATCGTGTCACTGCACTCCAGCCTGGGTGACAGAGACTGTCTCAAAAAAAAGAAATATGTACTTTGAATGAATGGATCCCTTCCCCGCAACAAGTAAAAAAAAAAAAAAAAGCAACACCACATAGAAAAAGTGAATTGATTTTCCCCATCTGGGATTGATCTCTCCTTCCTCTGCTTGTCCCCTAAAGCACTTTGTTCTTCTTATGTTGCTACTTCTACTCTGTTACAGAAATGTGTCTTCATAGTCCATATCATATTTGTAAACCAAAAATAAAAGTCTAAGCACCCCAATTGACTGGTGGACCCTCTCCTGAGCCAAGGACATTCTAATTTATCCTCAAAAACTAGTTCAGGCCATGATGGGAAGTGGTAGTCAGACATGCCTCACAGACATCAACTCAGAGACCTTAAGACTAGTAGACTCAAGACTGATAAAAAAATTTACAATTTTTTCTCTCTGAATCCTGCTACCTGGAAGCCTCACCTGCATGATAAAATCTTGTTCTCCACAACCCCTTATAATTGTAACCCAGATACTCCTTTCTATTTACTTCCAGGTCGTTAGATAATAACTCTTTAAACCAATTAGCAATCAAAAAATCTTTTAAGTCTACCTATAAGGTAGAAGCCTCCCAACTGCCCCGAGTTGGCCTGCCTTTCCAGACTTAGCTAATGTACATCTTACATGTATTGATTGATGACTCATGTCTCCCTAAAATGTATAAAACCAAACTGTACCCAACCACCTTGGGCACATGTCCTGAGGAGCTCCTGAGGCATCAGCACATCCTTAACCTTGGCAGTATAAACCTTCTCAACTGATTGAGACTAGTCTCAGATATTTTTGATTTACATATCCATTAGTTCTTTTTTTTTTGAGATGGAGTTTTGCTCTTGTTGCCCAGGCTGGAGTGCAATGGCGTGATCTTGGCTCTCTGTAACCTCCACCTCCCAGGTTCAAGTGATTCTCCTGCCTCAGGCTCCCAAGTACCTGGGATTACAGGCATATGCCACCACGCCCAGCTAATTTTGTACTTTTAGTAGAGATGGGGTTTCTCCATGTTGGTCAGGCTGTTTTCAAACTCCCGACCTCAGGTGATCTGCCCACCTTGGCCTCCCAAAGTGCTGGAATTACAGGCAGGTGACATTGCACCTGGCTAACATATCCATTGCTTCTAACCGGCATGGAGTGAAGGTCAAACATCTCTCTTATTAACCTCGATTCCCCTTTAGGGCCAAGCAGCATAGGATTAGGTGCACAGTAGGAACTGAGGACATAAACATGCATTTGATTTTTTTTTTTTTTTTTTTTTTGAGATGGAGTCTCACTCTCATCCCCCAGGCCGGAGTGCAGTGGTGTGATCTTGGCTTACTGCAACCTCTACCTCCTGGGTTCAAGTGATTCTCCTTCCTCAGCCTCTTGAGTAGCTGGGATTACAGGTGCAGGCCACCACCCCCGGCTAATTTTTGTATTTTTTGTAGAGAAGGGGTTTTGCCATGTTGGCCAGGCTGTTCTCGAACTCCTGACCTCAGATGATCCACCTGCCTCAACCTCCCACAGTGCTAGGATTACAGGTGTGAGCCACCACACCCAGCTTAAAATTTTATCCAACATATATTTACTGACACAATCTTTTGTAGCAGGCACTAGAAATACACTGGTAGTAAAAACAGTCTTGGGGCCGGGCGCAGTGGCTCATACCTGTAATCCCAGCACTTCGGGAAACTGGGGCAGCCAGATCACTTGAAGTCAGGATCTGGGCACCAGCCTGGCCAACATGGTGAAACCCCACCTGTACTAAAAATACTACAAAAATTAGCTGGGCTTAGTGACGGTTGCCTATAGTCCCAACTACTTGGGAGGCTGAGGTGGAAGAATCATTTGAACCTAGGAAGCAGAAGTTGCAGTGAGCTAAGATGGCACCACTGCATTCCAGCCTGGGCAACAGAGCAAGAATCCATCTCAAAGAAAACAAAGTAAAACAAAACTTTACAATAGCAAAGACTTGGAACCAACCCAAATGCCCATCAGTGATAGACTGGATAAAGAAGATGTGGCAAGTATACACCATGGAATATTATGCAGCCATAAAAAAGGGACAAGCTCATGTCCTCTGCAGGGACATGGATGAAGCTGGAAATCATCATTCTCAGCAAACTGACACAAGAACAGAAAACCAAACACTGCATGTTCTCACTCATTAGTGGGAGTTGAACAGTGAGAACACATGGACACAGGGAGGGGAACATTACACACTGGGGACTGTCAGGGGTGGGGAACTAGGGGAGGGATAGCATTAAGAGAAATACCTAATGTAGATGACAGGATGATGGATGCAGCCAACCACCATGGCATGTGTATAGCTGTGTAACAAACCTGCACGTTCTGCACATGTACCCCAGAACTTAAAGTACAATAAAAACAAAACCAAACAAACAAAAACCAGTCTCAGTCCTTCTCTCCAGCAGATAACGCCCTAGGAAAAAAAGGGGGAGTTAGTGTTCTGAAGGAATGGAACATGGTTCTATAAAATCATGTCACAGAGGAGATTGACCTGGCCTGGGAGAAACAGGGAAGGCTTTCTTGAGGAAATGGCATAAACTGAGCTCTGAAGAAAGAGGAAGAGTTAGTAAGATAAGGGGGAAGAACTATTTCTGAGTGAGAGGATAGCACAGTGCTAAGATCCTGCATGTGAAAGGAGCATGCTAGTTGAGAATGAAGAACTAAAATAACATCCTTGTGGTAGGAGGGGAGTGGTTTGTAAGGTGGACAGGGGCCAGGTCAAGCAGGGCTGTTAAAGGTAGTGGAGTTTTTCCTGAGAACATTCTTCCACCTCAGCCTCCTGAGAGTTTTATGCAAGTGGGTGGCAGGATCAAATTTGCATTTTAAGGCCAGGCTCTGTGGCTCATGCATGTAATCCCAGCACTTTGAGAGGCTGAGGTGGGCGGATCACAAGGTCAGAAGTTCTAGACCAGCCTGGCCAATAAGGTAAAACCCCTCCCCCTCCTCTGCCTCTACTAAAAATACAAAAAATAGCCAGGTGTGGTGGTGCATGCCTATAATCCCAGCTACTCTGGAGGCTGAGGCAGGAGAATCACTTGAACCCAGGAGGTGGAGGTTTCAGTAAGCCAAGATCAGGCTGTTGCACTCCAGCCTGGGTAACAGAATGAGACTCACTCTCAATAAATGAATGAATGAATGACTGCCAGGTTTGGTGGCTCACGCCTGTAATCCCAGTACTTCTGGAGGCTGAGGCGGTCAGATCACCTGAGGTCGGGAGTTTGAGACCAGCCTGACCAACATGGAGAAACCCCATCTCTACTAAAAAATTAGCCTGGCGTGGTGGCGCATACCTATAATCCCAGCTACTTGGGAGGCTGAGGCAGGAGAATCACTTGAACCCAGGAGGTAGAGTTTGCAGTGAGCCAAGATCATGTTATTGCACTCCAGCCTGGGCAATAAGAGTGAAACTCTGTCTCAAACAAAATGCATTTTAAAGATTCGTCTGGCTTCACGTGGCTAACAATAGTCAACATAAAATATAATAGTAATAGTTATACCTCAAATAATTATACCTTGAATGCTAACAATTGTACTCTTGCCAGGACTTTGAGACCAGCCTAGACAACAGAGCATGACTTTGTCTCTACAAAAATAAAAATAAAAAAACTATCTGGGTGTGGTGGTACATGCCTGTTGTCTCAGCTACTCTGGAGGCTGAAGTGGGAGGACCGCTTGAGCCCAGGAATTTGGGCTACACTGCGCTATGATCTCATCACTGCACCCCAGCCTGGGTGACAGAGTGAAACCCTGTTTCTTTAAAATAAATAATGATACTCTCAAAAGGACAGATAAATTCACGAGGGTAAATTGGTGAACTTGAGACATGTTTAGATGAATGACTGTAGCACTTGTACTCTAAGATGGAAATGCTCCTGAATGTTCTATGGAAGCAATTCGTTCTTAATCTTTGATCACTTGGAACACACAAGACAGATGTACGACTTATAGGACACATTTCCATGGATATTCATGGATTTTAGTGAAAGCGAAAAATGTTGAAGATAAGTAAAGCACTAATAATTCAAAGTAGCCACAGCTACTAATAATACTTTGATTCTTATTTATTTATTATTGCCTATTTAGAGTTTGGCAACTGCTCTCCAAGTGTGGCTCCACCAATCAGCAGCATCAGCGTCATTTAGGAACTTCTTGGAAATGCACATTCTTGGATCCCACTGTAGAACTTCCTGTATCAAGAGCTCT